GTGAGTGGTAATTTATCTAAACTGGGTGACATCTTTAACCCCTGTATATAATAATAAAATTCCACGTAGGTGCCCTCAACGATTACAACTGAATGGCTTATGTCGAGTTGATTTTGCTGCGCTCTACACTATATCCCCGGGCTCTGCTGACCTCGTTACAGTACCGTCATTTCGACCTACTCTCGCTATCGTCTCACTTTTACTTTCGTGGACCATTTTCAGCGATTTCAGGAGAGTGCCATGTCCCCTCTCGTACATTGAAACTGGTGCGTCTAACTAGCATCTCGACTTGTTTCCTTACGACTATATGCGTTGAGTCGTCATGGCTTTTATATCAGCCAACCTTGCCTTCTACGGCAAGTAAATGCGTATATACCTGACGCATTCTTAAAGTTCTACACAGATTGGTACTATTCTACGTATTTACGTACGAATTCGGGCATTGTGCGACGCCAGTTTAGAAAACTCGTTAAGCCAGGGAATGGTGGTGGGGTGGTGGTGGAGAGTTATAGGTGGACAAAGTGCTTTAATTAGTATTTCGCTAACACACTCGTGTATTATAAAACATGCGGTTTGAAATCTATTTTCCAGTTTAATTACGAAAATTGAAAATAGCCGCCGACACTAGATTGCTTCACTCACCCGTAATACGTATTGCAATGTCGTTCATCCATTGCGCTCTTTTTTCGCTTGCTCGCCAGCGGTAGGCTCCTTATCCAGCTCGGGTGCTGTCTCAGCGGCTGTGATCTGTGACATGTTGTACTAATGCGTTGCAGTCAACCGTGGTATGCGTGTTATGTGTGTCGTCCGGCAAGTGATTAATTTGCTGAATGTCACCGCATAAAACTGCATTGTTCCGTGCGTTATCCGGGAATCTGCAGATTTGCTGAATCTCGCTACAAAAATCTGCATTCCTCCGCCTTCTCCTCCTTGCTTCGTAGTGAACGTATTCCGCTGTCCCTCGCTTCGTCATGATCATATTCTTCTGTTTCTTGCGTCGTCTTGATCCTATTCTGGCTTTTCTTCCCGTCGTCGATAGCCAGGTCGTACCAGATAAGTCCTGGCTTATATGCGCATTGGCTGCAATATCATTGTTCGTAGGCATTGCCATACGCAATGCCCGTATGGCGAAAACGTCAACACTTCATTCCAACGTCACAATAGTCCAATAATCATAGGTTTCTGTCTTCTTTCTTCATTTTCTTCTCCCTCATCGTTACAGCTGTCTTCACTCGGTGTTTCTCCCGACTTTCGTGCATCGTATAGCTATAGTACCTTTAGTTCGTTGCTTGGCAAAGGAATACCCTGGTTGTTCGAGTCACGGCTCCAAATTGTAGCGTGGAATATACGTTCGTAGACTGTAGACCGTAGATAGTCGAAGTAACGAGTGACGTAAACGGTAAACAACACTTATAGCTTTATTGTAAACGCAGATCAAAACGATGCACACATACCCGTCAGCTATACGTCGGCGTCTCTCCCTCTACCCGAAAACCCTCTCCTTTTATCCGTCTCTCTCGACCTCGCCACGTAATTGCAGCGGTTATTGTCGAAGGTCGTTGTACCCCGGCCGTGTCGCGATCATGTAGAGCGTAGTTTGTGTGTTATAATTTAAAGCATAAATAATCAAGAAGTCGTATAGAATTTGTGTTCACTAAAGAAATATATTGT